GTCAGTAGAGATACTCCCTTTAAGGCTGGTAGCTAATTTAAAGGCTCTCCTAGTAGTTATGAGTGTGGCTACCTGGCTGATTTTATATTTGGGAGAATATAAGACTCTAAACCCTCATGAGGACTATTATACTTTTATATAACAGAATATGCTTTTATATTTCTCTGTGTGCTCTCATACAAGATCCATTAGTGAACTATATTAAGTCAGCATTGGGAATTAAAATACCAGATATAGCAGACCCAGGTCAAGCATCTTCTATAACTGTGAGGCAGTTCACTGCTTACTTAGGATCTAACAGTTGAACAGTTGGATTCAAAAAGCTACACTTGACTGGGATAGCATTAGTATTAGACAGACCCTGTGACCACTGACCAATAACTTGCCATTCTCCCCTTCCTGCCCCCTCTCCAGACCCTGGCAACAATCGTTCTATTTTCTGTCTCTGTGAGTTTGACTATTCTAGGCACCTCCTATAAGTGAGAGTATACAATATTTGTACTGTTGTGCCTGGTTTATTTCACTTATCACAATATCTTCAAGATTTATTCATGTTGTAGCATGTGCTAGAATTTTTTCCTTTTAAGACCGAATAATATTTTATTCTATGTATAGATAACATTTTGTTTATCCCACCATTTGACTATTGTGAATAACATTACTATGAACATAAGAGTATAAACGTCTGTTTGGATCCTTGTTTTCTTTTTTTTTTTAGTATATAACCAGAAGTGGAATTGCTAGGTCACATAGTAATTCTATATTTAATTTTTTTGAGGCATGACCATATTGTTTTCCATAGGGCCGCACCATTTACACTACTATCAGCAGTGCACAAAGTTACTGTTTCAGCATTTGTCATTTATTTACTTATTTTTTAAATAAAACCATCCTAATGTGTATGAAGTGGTATCTTACTGTGATGTGCATTTCCCTAAAGATTTGTGATTTTGAGAATTTTTTCATGTGCTCCTGGCCATCTGTACATCTCTTTTGGAGATATATGCATTGAAGTTCTTTGCACATTCGGTTGTTATTTTCCTGGTGTTGAGTTGTAGTTCTGTATATGTTTTGGATATTAATTCCTTATGGCATATTATGATTTGCAAATATTTTCTCCCACTTCATGGGCGGCTAATTTAATCTTTTAATAATGTTTTTTTAATGCAAAAATTTTAATTTTGATCAAGGCCAGCTTATTTATTTTTTCTTTTGCTTTTCTGTGCTTTTGGTATCATGTCCAAAAAATTATTGCCAAATCTAATGTCATGAAACTTTCTTTCTATGCTTTCTTCTAAGAGTTTCATAATTTTCACTCTTAGACATTTTTTTTAAATCAAATTTAAGTTAATTTTTGCATATGGTATAAGGTAAGGATCCAATTTAATTTTTTTTGCATGTGGATATCCATTTTCCCCAACACCATTTATTAAAAAGACTGTTCTTTCTCCATTGAGGGGTCTTGACATCCTTGTTGAAAATTATTTGAATATATATGCAAGGATATATTTCTGGGCACTCTATTTTATTCAATTGGTCTATATGGAAGTCTTTTAAAATGTATTTTTAAATTAATTTTTAGTTATAGTTGACATACAATATTATATTAGTTTCAGTTGTACAACACAGTGATTTGACATTTAGATACCTCACGAAGTGATCACTACAATAAATCTAATAACCATCTGTCACAGTTATATGCTGGTCTTCATACTAGTATCATACTGTTTTGATTACTGTAACTATGTAGTAAGTTCTAAAATCAGAAAGTATGAGTCTTCCAATTTTGTTCTCTTTTGAGATTATTTGGCTATTAAGGATCCCTTGAGATTCCACATGACTTAGGATGAATTTTTCTTTTTTGCAAGCCGAGCTGCTGGGACTTCGATAGAGATTATATTGACATTTTTAAAATATTGTCTTCTAAAATAAACTGAAGAATAAGTGAAAGCTTATACTATGTTCATGGATAGGAAGAATTAACATTGTTAAAATGTCCATACTGCACAAAACAATCTATAGACTCAACTCAATTCCTATCAAAACTCCAATGATGTATTTCACAGAACTAGAACAAATGATTCAAAAATTTAAATGGAACCACAAAAGACCCCAAATAGCCATAGCAATCTTGAGGAAGAAGAAAAAAGTTGGAGGTATCACACTATCTGATATCAAACTGTATTACAAGATTATAATAATCAAAAAAGCATGGAACTGGCATAAAAACTGACACATAAATCAATGGAACAGAATAGAGAGGCCAGAAATAAACCCACACTCATGTGGACAATTAATATTTGACAAATGAGGCAAAAATATAAAATGGAGTAAAGATAGTCTCTTCAATAAATTATGTTGGTAAAATTGAACAGGTACATGCAAAAAAATTAAACTAGATCACCTTCTTACACCATATATAAGGATAAACTCAAAATGGATTAAAGATTTAAATGTGAGTTCTGAAGTCATAAAATTCCTAGAAGAAAACACAGGCAGTAAAATCTTGAACATTTCTCTTAGCTACATTTTTTTCTGATATATCTCCTTGGACAAGGGAAACAAAAGGAAAAATAAACAAATAGGACTACATCAACAGAAAAAGGGTTTGCCCAGCAAAAGAAAAACCGGCACAATGAAAAGACAAGCTACTGAATAAAAGAGGATATTCACCAATGATACATCTGTAAGGGGTTAATACCCAAAATTTTTAAAGAGCTCCTACAACTCAACACCCCAAAATCAAACAATCTGATTAAAAAGTGGGGGGGGGACCTAAATAGACACTTCCCCAAAGAGGACATACAGATGACCAACAGACATATAAGAAGATGCTCAATATCACTAATTATCAGAGAAATGCAAATTAAAACCAATGAGATACCACTTTCACATCTGTCAGAATGGCTATCCTCAATAAATCAGCAAATAACAAGTGATGGCAAAGATGTGGAGTAAAGGAACCCTCGTGCACTGTTGATGGGATTAAAAATTGGTGCAACTACTATGGAAAACAATATCACGTTTTCTCAAAGAAATAAAAATAAAACTGCTTTATGACCCAGTGATTCCACTTCTAGGTATATATTTGAAGAGACCCAAGACACTAATTCAAAAGAATGTATGCACCCTTATGTTTATTGCAGCATTATCTACAGGAGCCAAGATATGGCAGCAATCCAAGTGCCATAAATATATGAGTGGATAAAGAAGTGGAATATTACTCAACCATAAAACAGATTGAAATCTTACCTTTTGCAACAGCATGGTTGGACCTAAAGGGTATTATGCAAAGTGAAATGAGTCAGTCAGATAAAGACAAATACCATATATCATTCATCTGTGAAATCTAAAGAGCAATAAAAATGAACAAATAAAACAAAAACAGACTTGTAGATACAAAGAATAAGACTGATGGTTGCCAGGGAGGAGGAGGGTTGGGGGACTGGGTGAAAAGTGGAGGGATTGAGAAATAATTGATTGGTAGTTATAAAATAGTCCCAGGGATGTAAAGTACAATGTAGGGAATGTAGTCAATAATATTGTAATAATTATGTCTGGTGCCAGATGGGTACTAGAAGTATCAGGGAGACCACTTTGTAAAGTACATGGTTGCACACTTGCAATGACTACAAAATAATATTGAACATAAACTGTAATAGAAAAATAAGCAAAAATTCTTGTCAGAAAAATTTCAACATATGATTCATCTTATTATAGTGTCTATTCAGGCCCTTTATCCATTTTAAAGTTGCATTTTTTTGTTTTTGTTTTTGAATCGTATGACTTCCTTACATATTTGGGATATTAGCTTCCTATCAAATATGTAGTTTGCAAATATTCTCTTATATTTTTATAGGTTGCTTTTTCATTTCTGCTCTGCCTTTAATTCAATGTCTGAAATTCTTTCTTTATTGTTGCAGTGTTATAGTTGCTTACAGTGGAAAGACTAGTCCAGCGCCATTTGCCTTGTATGGCAAGATGTGGAAATCCTACCCTTGACTTTTGAAGAAACCTTTTCACTTATTTCTTAATGTTCAATCAAAACACTGAACAACACCCATCCATCTTCTAAATGATTCATTAGAGTAAAAAGTCACCGTGATATCCTCTTAAAAAAATCATTTTATTCCCATTTCTCAAGGGTTGTCTACTGGATTCCTCAGACAAAATTTATTATCTTGAATAATGATTAGTTTCTGATTTTTAGGTATTTGATTTTTTTTTTGTTATCTTTCATTTTCTGCCCCTCCACTCACAGGAAGAATAAAAAACCCAAAGGCATATGCTGTCAGGCAGATATCATTTCTAATCTAGGCCCTACGTCTTACTAGACGTGTGGTATAAGAATGTTACATCACATCACTCCTCCAAACTCTCTTGTGCTCATCTGTGAAAATGCCATTTAACTTCTCAGTGTAGTAGTCAATGTTTTTATCTATACCATAGCATTTAGTACGGAGCCTGACACATAATAAATTCATGGTAAATACGAATTTCCATTACTTTTGCCTCATGTCTTTCCCTTCCTCCATTTATAGTTCCACTTCAATTTTTCTTCCACATCTTTTCTTTCATCACTGTCTTCGTCTTTTTCTTAGTCTGTGATGCCTGGTATAGGATTACAGTCAGGGAGATAAAGACAGATGTTTTTAAAAATATTCGTTATTTCTTAAATTATGTCTTAGTTTTCTCATTGTTTGATTGATTAATTGACTGATTCATTCATTCAAATACGTCTCATACAATATGCCAACTGGCTCTGATTTGCTTCTTCCTGGAAGGAGGCCCGCCTTGACATGGTGCTGCTGGCAGTTCTCCCAGGTATGTGATACGTGTTATCCTTCTGCCTGGCTGACCCCAGGTGTGCCTCATCCTTTTTAGTTCACTGCGCTCAGCCCTGGCCAATTTCCAAAACCAATAAAGGCAGGGACAGCACTGTCCTGCTGCAATGATCTGTATTCGGTCCCCTGCTACACAGTCCTCCATCCTCTTGAGACATGTCAGTCATGAAGCCCTATTTAATGACCATTTCCATCCTTCTGATCCTGGTTCATAAGACTCCAGGTAATTCAGGCCTCTCTCAAAAGCTCTGGGGTCTTATGTGTGTTAATTGGTATCTTGGTGACTACACATAGTAAGCGCTACCTAAAGCCTTTCTTTTCTCAGATGAGTTGTGAATGGTAATCTCAAGGACCATCTCATGTAAAGATGTCCCTCGGTTCTGCTCTGCCAAGACCAATTTAAGAAATGCCTGGGATAGTGGAGTGTTGAAGCATGAAACATTTCAGGTAGTGCTGTTATTGGGATGGAAGCTTGACTCATGCATTAGATGTGAGAGTTACAGGAGAAATCAACAGTAGTTTGGAGTTTGGAGAGTGAGTTGTTGGGGGGTGGTATATAACCTTAGAGTAATATTGAAAAAGACATGAGAAGAGATGTGGAGGAGGTGAGCAATTCCATTTATAAAATTGGGCTAGACTAATGTTCTAAAGTAGTTTGGAGAGGGAATGGTATTTTTGTTGAATGGAAACGAAAGGAGGGTGGGTAGAACTGAGAGTTAGGGTAGAGTGAAGTTTGTAGTTGGTCTGTTTTGGCTGTGAATTAAGACTGAGTGGTTTGGCTTGTTTTATGGTTGTGTTAGGTTTTATAGTTGAACATTAGGTGGTTATCAGGAGGGAGAGGGCTGGGAGTTAGAGGTGGAAATTTGGTTCAAGTAGGAGTCTTATTGCAGCAGGATATATGTGGGGTTTATCTGGGAAGTGGTTGGTCAGCCTAGGTTTGGGGGTGACTAAATTAGAGTAAGACAGTCAAATTTATCACAGCAGAGCTGTGGCTGTTGAACTGGAGAGAACGATTACTGGATGAAAAATATCCAGTAATATTTTCAAATTCTTAAGCGTTTCTTTAATGTGATTTTCAAGGGCACTGAAAAACAATAGATATAACTATAAGAAGAGAGGGGAAAAAGACATCAAAAGTCTGGAATATCCTCAATGGCTCTGTCACACCTTGGCATGTACAGAGAGACATAGGCGTAGTCTCAACCCAGCCCTATGGGAAACCAAAGCTCTTTCCCCTTTTTGGGACTGAGTTCAGAGTTACTGCATCTAGTGGTTTCTCCTCCTCCCCTTCCTCCTCCCTCTCCTTTTCCTCCTTTTCCATCTTCTTCCTTCTTTACATTCTCCTACCCCTTATTTCTCACCCTGTTTTGTCTTCTTTTCTTGAGAGACAATTCTTATGTCCAAGAATGCTCAGTTCCCACATCAGAACAGTGGCAAAAACAGCAGGTGGGTTTGCTAAATAAATAAATAAATAAAACAAACAAACAAACAAATCCACACAAAAAGGAAGATAGCACTCAATGCTTCAAAAGTTGTGCGAAGTGTTGCTTCCTTAATAACTGCTTAATACTTACACCTGGCAGCATTTACGGGCAGGAAATATTCTGGACAGACTTTTCTGAAACAAAGTTATTTTTTCCTTTCATCATCCCAAACATATATATATGAAATTAAACTGTTTGAAAGCCAAGACTCTGCCTTTTAAGTTTATGTATTCCTGGTGTTTAGCTGAGTGTTTTGCACAGAGTAGGTTTTAGTAAATGTTTATTGAATGAATGAATTTATAAATGGCTTATGCCTAATAAATACACATAGGTAAGAATAACCTTAGATGTTAGATGGGAAAGGATCATGTTTGGGGTGCACAGATGGCAGAGAAATCATGTATCGCATTGTTTTTTGACTCCAGATGGAGCTGATGGAGTCTAGAGCATATGTTTTGGTTTTAAATTTATAATATTTTAATTTGCTCTTAAAACAAGTCCAATGTGGGGAAATGAGCTGGGCAGTGTCTGCGGGTGAACATGAGAAGGTCAGGCAGGACTGTGGCCCTCCCTTCCAGCAGGAGCCCATGAGTATGTTCTCAGACGTACTTGCAAAGCACCCTTGCTCTGGCCTCTCCCCAGACCTCTCAAATTAGATTCTCTAGAGATTAATGTGAGGATACTTAAAAATCCCCCAGGTTATTACAAAGTATGGCACACTTTATTAACCTCCTCCTTTGCAAACACAACTGAGATTTTTTGGATCTGGTGTAAACCGCCCCCCGCCTCATTCCCACTTCTCCCCCGGGGAGACTGGGCCCAGAGGATCCGAGGCACTGCTGGGATTCAAAGGCAAGTCCCCTCTGACTTCAAATGGGAGATAGATCATTAAAGGTGACATTGACTTGATGTAGGTGCTGTAGTGCGTTGTGACACAAGGCAGTATAAGGTTAGGACAGCTGCGGGAGTGTGAAGTCATAAATGTCAATGGCCTGGCTGGGTAGCTCAGTTGATTAGAACGTCGTCCCCATGACCAAGGTTGTAGGGCTAATCCCTGGACAGAGCACATACAAGACTCAACGAATGAGTGCATAAATAAGTGGAACAACAAATCCATGTTTCTCTTTCTTTCTCTCTCTCAAAATCAATTAATAAAAAAATTTTTTTGCGTTTATGACAAAACCCTTGTTTTGTTTTTTTGTATTTGTGTATTTAGCCCCCTTAAGCAGTATTCTCCTGGGTTTGTCCTGACCTGCTTTTCCATGTGGAAAGAGTGAGGAAAAGGCAGCCCGCTTGGTCCTTCTTCTCAGTATTTATGTTCCTATCCATCTTCTCGTGACTACAAAGAGGAAGTCTCGGGTGCCTCGGCTTCCATCCACGGTGCTCAGGAGAAAAGGAAAGTCCTCAAGTTCAGACGTTAACCAGAAGAGTGTGTGTGTCCCTCCGGGGAGGCCCCCTGAGGATCTCCCTGTCCTACAAGTAGACAGGTTCATAAGTGGCAGCTCTCGGATGAAAGACAGGTTCCCCGATGAGGGCGAGGATTAATGTAGGAAATGCAGTGGCTCCGTGATGTTGGAATGTGGGAGAAGGGGCACTGCTGTTGGCCAACCAGCAGGCTGGCTGATGTAGCAGCTGAGAGCCCCTCTGGACTGGAGGGCCAGTTTGAGGAGCAGTTCCTACATACACCAGCACTGAAACACTATAGGAGATCTGCAACTGAAGCATTTCTTCTTTCTTTTCTGTCCCATTCTCTCTCTAACTCCACTTAAACTTGAAAAATGCTATTAAGTCTTGTCAAAAAATTAACAAAGTGGGGTTTTTTTGCTATGCAGGAAATAACATCAAACGCACTTTGCCCACTGTTTACGAGTGTGGGTGGGCATTGAGACCTATCCATGCTTAGCACTGAGTACATGGCCTGGCACAGAGTGAGTGCTGGTAAATGGATGTGGAATAAGGGGATGGGTAGATGGTTGAAAAGCTTCTTGAATGCTAAACTATGAATTTTGGAATATCTATTGAAAATTGCAGAAGGCTCAGTGCCTACAGACATCATACAATATGTCACTTTCTCCTAGAAATTTCATCGTACGTGACATAGAGAGGCATGTGATATAGATAGGAACTGACACAAGCTTAATATCACGTAGACCAGAAATTGAATCCTAGCTTGGCTAAGCATGAGCTATGGGAATATGGACAGCACATGGTCTCTCTTTGAACCTCAGTGTCTTCATCTAATGAATGGAGATAACAGCAGGCTTTTGCAAGGATTCAGTGAGATATTATTTCTAAAATGCCTGATACATAGAAGATGCAGAATATATGGCAGTGATTGTTAGCATTATTTCCTTTCTAATGCCTCCTTTGTCTATGAAAGTTCCAATGGGTAGTTAATACTATTGATGACTAATATTTATAGAATGCTAAGTGTCAGGAACTTGTCACTGGTGTATTTTCGGCTGAAGAGCCTGTATATGCATGGACATATGTGGATGACTGATGCATAGCCATTAAGATCCTGGTTGTCTCTGAGTTGTGTGGGGAGCATGCATCTGTCAGGGGACTTGGGACATGTCCAATAAATGCTCACAATACCTTAAAGCCCTGGTAGCCCAGGAAAAGACTTTCATATCAACAACGCTGCCTAATATTTGTTTTTTTATTACTTTTCTGAGTATATTGTATATGCTAATTTTAGCATCACCAAAATGTTAAGAAGTGGATTAGTTACTGTGCTCCCCATGAAGATGATGCAATGGTGGGCAACGAACTGAAGCAATTTGCTTAAGGATGAAGAGCCAAAATGACAGAGCCCAGATTTGAACTGAGGTGGTTTGGACTCCAGATCCTATGCTCTTAGTGTTCTCAGGGTTTGTTTTCTTTAAATCATGCTTCCTCACTCCTGTTTTCGTTGCTGCATAGAAACTAAACATGGCTATGTTTTTTCCAGGTGGCCTGTTCAGATCCTACTATGGCAAGAGCCAGGAGCATTGGAATCCATGCCACCTCTACCATGGCATGTGCAGAAACACCTGCAGAAAAGAGGAAATTCAATACCTAACCTGCCGCAATGATCAAAAGTGCTGCCTGAAACTTCCTGTGAAAATAACCAGTTCTAACAATGTGAAAAAGAGCAACTCCAATTCCAACTTGTCAGCTACAAACACTTAAAACTACTCTGAAATTGACCTCCTGGAGAAATTCTTTGCCCATTTTGGGGCACCGTCCCCATAAAAATGCATTCCTTCTCACGTGTGTGTCTTTCCTCTGGGGAGAGTCATTGCTGGACAGGAGAAAGTTAGGCTGGGGGCTGGAGAGCTCCGGAGTTTAGGAAAGGGCACGGGCCACCAAAAAACAAAACAAAACAAAACAAAAAAAAAACGGACTCTAGGATAGCTCAGTAGATGGTGAAGGTGCCAAGGAAGGAAGGAGATGATGTTTCTGCTCTGCTTGGTGCATGAAGAGGGTTGTGATTTATTCTGGAATGTGCAGAGAAAAGGTGACATCTGGATTGAGTCTGGATGATCCAGTGAACGTGCAGAGGAGATCACTGAGTCTTTGGAGTAAATACCATAGGATCAGATCAGGGACACTAGGGTTACCTTTGATATCCAGAGACCTATCCTGTTCTGTTTGGTATGAGGTGGTATCCTCGGGAAGAGCCAGGACCAGGTAGATGGATAAAACAGAGTGGAAATCTGTTGGGCAGGTGAGGGCAACATTTTCTAAGTGGTAGCGCTGTTGGGAAGTGGAATAAACAGTCTTGTCCCTGGGCATTCTTCCCGTTTTGAGGCTGGAGGGCCATTTCTGGATGTGGGAGAGAGGTAATCGTGGTCATGGTGTCTGGGATTTGGAATAGAAGCTGGACATTGTACTTGATACCCTTTAAAATCCTTTCATTCCTGAGAATTGAGAATAGTATTTTCCCACACCAAACTTAGTCACAGCTAATATTTGACATGCTATGGAATTTTCATCGTGTTATGAATACTTCTCTTCCACTGCTAATATCTGCCTCCCTCTGGGTCCAAAGTAACAGAGCCAGTGCTCCCAGCTAAGTTCTGCAAGTGCTTATCACTTCACTAAAATGGCCCTGGTTTTGCTCACCAATGCCTTCATTGTTGAAAAACTTGAGTCTTCTTTAGTTTTTCCCATTTACTTTGCCTCAGCTACTGTTCCCTCTGCCCCCACATTGTTCTCAATCCTTGAAACCCTCATGTGCCTTTGCACCTGGTCTCTGGATGTTCTTTATTAGTCCCTTTTGGTGTTCCTTCTTCAGCCTACTCCATGGTATTTGTCATCTTCCCTATTTTCTTTTTCTCTTTTTCTCACCATAGACATTCTCCCTGCATTTCTCGTTATTAGACAAATAGTAATCCCAGGCCTAACCAATGGACCAGAGGCACTCAATGAAAAATTAATACAGTTGGATTTTTTCATGGAACTTAGAGGACTGATGGGAAATAATAATTATGTTTATATCTTTGTGACTCACTGACATTCAGATATGTTTGTCAGACAGGACAGGAACCTGGCAGAAGCCAGGTTTCAAGGAGAGTCACAGAGATTTGCTGGCCTAAGCAACATAATTAGACACACACTTTAGTACTTGGAAGAAAATGTTCAGCATTGTAGTTGAAATATATAATATTCCTAGACTTCCTACATCAGCAGTATTTGTGGAGCGAAAGTGGTTGTAGAATTCTAGAGTTGGAGCAGATCCCCACTTCCCTGGTTTCTACATGTCTTAGGAAGAAACATGACTATGGAGACAGAAGGGTTTGTCCCCTGCTTCTCACCATTGCTCAGAAGCTGTGTGATCTTCGGCAAGTTCTGTATTTATACATTCAGCTCAGACTAGGTCCACACTCACATATTAAATCACATATTCATTATGTCCTGGATTTCTTAGCCACTTCAGGCTCAAAATGTCCTAAATTGAATTCTAAATCATTTGCCTGCCTGGAAACCTTTGTCTTCCCGTTTCAGTAATTGATGTTTACAATTTGTTCTGTTGCTCAATTCAGAAACCTGGATCGAGTCATTCTTGATCCCCACCCCGACCCCCATTCATCTCGTCACTGTGTCTAAGCCACTAAAATGTGCTTTCTGGTCCCACTCTTAAACTGACTTCAATTTAACGACGAGATCAGCCTTTGCACAATCGTAGGTAGAGGATTCACTATTAAAGTGAAAAATCTCAACTAATTAAGAAATCCTTAATGTTTTTTTACTCCCTTGAATGTGCAGTTTGACTTCTTTCGTAATCTTCAATGCTATATTCCCTTCTCAAAAGCAATGTGATTTCCTTTGTCTTCAAATGCATATTTGTCTATATTTTGTTATTAGTACTCCCATTAAATAGTGCCTTTGAAGTTTGTTATTTTATAAGGTCCCTCTCATTTTTGCCAACATCAGTTTCTCTCATATTTTCCTTCTTGAGTTTCATTTTTTCCACTGTTTATGAACACAAATCTTATAGAAGTTTTTTTTGGATATATTAAGTTATAAACAAAGCATGTGATTTTGATGTTACACAGTGGGGTGAAGTGATTCCCATCCCTTAGCTGATGAACATTCTCCTTTGTGCATTGGGTCAGCCCACAGAATGGATGACTGTTAGGTCTGATCTCAACTACAGCGTATGAGCTGCTATGTGACTGCTGACCACATGAAGCAGAATTTGGCCTCAGCGGAATCTGGAGCCTGTCGAGAGCTCCCTTTGAATATACGACTCATGCTAATTAAATCCTGTTTTTGATGTTGTCTGAAGCTTGCCACTGGGTTTGTTGGTTCTGAGGCCTCTTAGGAGGGACTCTGGTATAAGTCAATGTCAGACACTACCTGTGACTGGCACTGGGCAATCTGTTTGGAGATACAAAGTGATCCACAGTTTGTGGCTGTCTCTGTTGGGCCTGAATGTGTAGAGGGAGGACCAGGCCATGCACCAAGGCCACCTTCCACCAGCACCAAGCCGGGGGTCAGGTCATCAAAAGGCCCAAGGCACCATGAGGTCCACCTCTGCTTGCCTCCATCTGCCTCCACATGCCAACTGCCTGTTCAGCTCAGTCACTGAAAAAACTTTTGGCAGTTCTCAAGTTGTGTGAGGTAAGTTCTCAGTGAGTCGGCAGGTAGGAGCAAGTGGTGTTTACCAGATTGGTACAGGTTCAAAGTTGGTGCCAGTGCTGGGTCTGAGGCTACTCAGCAAATGCTATAAGGCATTTTCTCATAAGGCAGGTCTAGTAGTAATGAATTTGCTCAGTTTTTCTTTATCTGGAAAAACTTTATCTTTCTTTCATTTGTAGAGGATAATTTTGCTGGGTATGTATTCTTGTAACAATGTGGACTCTGGACTCCTTTGTTACCTAGGGTTAATATGGGCAAAGATTGTAGGGGTCTTTAGTGGAGAAAGCTTCGTGTATTTTTGTCAGTGGTGAGGGCTCTTTGGTCCTTTGTTAGCAAAGACTTCTGGGTTTTTTTTCTCCTTTCCAGTGCAGACAGCAGTCACTGATGAGGGGATCCCTCTTGGTCCTAAGCTTTGCTAGGCTGAAGTGTGGTGATGCTGGTAAAATGCTCCCAATACTTTTAATACAGTCATACTTGGTTTTTGATCTCTACTGGGTTGTCTAGATTCTTCATTGTACTCTGAAGCTCCTCCAGAGCTATTTCCATCAGTGTATATTTTTAAAAAAAATTCTTTTTTGCAGGGAGAGATGAGTACTGGGATCTCTTAGTTTGCCATTTCACTGACATGGCTCCCTGACTTCTGTTTCTTCCCATATTTTTCTCCTTTTTCCACCCCCTCTCCCTCAATTCCCCCACATTGTTATTTTCTTTTCATTTATCCTGATGGCTAGTACATTGCTGTATATACAGTAAGTGCTACTGATTAATGTGATACACTCCTGACACAAATTTAAAGAAATATATTTTTAAAGTTTCTTTATTTCTCATAATAACTTACCAGCTTTTTTCATTGTTGAATTGATTAACTCTTTCATTTATTCCAATTTGTCTTACACAATATATAAACTGGCTTTAATTTCACTTTGTCTCTTACTGAAAGGAAGGCCCACCTTGATTCGGGTACTGGCAAAGCGCCTACATTCACATGCAGTTCCAGATGACATGTATAATACATGTTATCTTTCCGCCTGGATGACCTCAGGTATGTCCCATCTTTCCTAGTTCCCTGCCCACAACCCTAGCCTACTTCTGAAACTAAAGAAGCAGAGCATTGCCCTGCTGCAAAGATCTCTATTCTGTTCCCTGTGCGTGCCCTCTGTTCTCTCAGAACCTGTCAGTTATGAAGCCTTATTTAATCACCATTGTCATTTTTCTGATTCTGGTTCATAAGACTTGAGGTAACTCAAGGTACTCTCAGAGGTTCTGGGGTCCTGCATTTGGTTTTGCAGTTCTGGTAACCTAATGTTCAGTTCTTACTATGCCAGGATCCTACTGGCTTTATACTGCTATTATCCATTTAAAAGTTTGGCGCTCCTGGGTGGAGGAGTTGTAGAGAATACAGGGCATAGAGCATATTGGGGTAATAATGTCATTAGGATGAGAACTTTGGACACGGGTTATGTATGTGGAATTAAGTCCAAATTGAAGATTTATAAGATCAATCAAGGTGTTACTTTGAATTGGGAAATGAATTGTGGTGCAGAGAGGATAGGGCCTTTTGGTTGGAGTAATTACAGAAAAATAAATAGTAATTAGCTGGAAGTAAGTGATTGCATTTATGGAATTGGGTTGGTCTGGCAGTTTGGGGGAGGCTGGGTTGGGGATGATACTTATGGTTCAACGGATGTTGCAGTGAAGTTGGGTGAAACTAAGAATCGGAGTAGATGGGGTTTCTCTGTGGGGTTATTGTTGAGCCGAAGCTAGGTACTGGTGCTGGGTGGCTTGATTAATGTATTTGTCTTGAAATAGCATAGTATGGAGGTGAGGCTGAGATCTGGAGAGATTTTGTGAGGTGCTTGTTTCAAGGAGGGCAAATGTGAGATATGGATAGAGTTTGGATTAGCCTAAGTAGGACTGGCTGGACTTGAATGAAACACCTAAGTTTTTCTGCATCTGTGTGAATAATCTTGGTGATGAACTTCCTCAGCTTTTGCTTGGGATAGTCTTTATGTCTTCTCCATTCCTGAAAGAAACTTTGCTGGGTA